CCCCCCGAAAAAAAAACCAAGTAGACCTCCTCCTCATGTATTGCAGGCAACATAAACTGAAGCTTCAAGAAACATTTAAAAGATTTCCCTTTTAGGAGTACATTAGTAGATCAACTAATTTATCATCATGATTACCGAGATTAAGCTAACCCAAAAGCTAAAAAAATGGAAGAAAGCAGAAGAAGTCAAGAAAAACACAATAGATGGGGCTTTAATCTGCTACAATCACTCAATCCATCTATTCATCTAAAGCTATATAAACCACACCAACCAGCCAAAAACACAAAATATGAAGAATCAAGGATCGAACCTGTAAAATAAGGATAGAGGCACCAATCAAAAGCAAGAGAGCGGCTAAGGACATGTGATTCATCGCCATATTTGGCTTTTCTCTGGAGTTCTCCAATTGTGGTGTGAAGATGCAGGAACTCCCAGAAATATATAGATACAGGAAAAGATAGATCAATTATTGGCCCATCTCTTTTGACGTATAATAAAAGTTTATAACTTTATTTATCAGCTACAGAGATGATTGTTATTGATCCTCTTTAGGATATTTTGAATTAAAGAATTGGATTAAATTGGAAACATTCAGTTCCCAAGTTCGGCCAAACTTAGGTTAGGACCACGTGTGGTTTTGTTATTGGACGTAAGGGAGTACAATAATTTTGTAATTTTCAAGATAGATTAACGATTGAGATCTCTTATCAAGCGGTTGGCCGAATTAGAAAAGAGATTCCTTCAAGTTGGATTCCATTTTTTATACTGTTCCTTTGGAATGAAACTATCCACTTGGCAATATTTATTGAAGAATGGGCGATACTCTAATACAGAAAAGATAATGTAGTGGGTCTCGTTTAATTTTAAAAAAATTACTTCAAAATTTGAATATTTAACTAGGCGAAAAGACATGAATATCCACTTAGTTGAGATAAATTATGACTTTGTCATGTTGATATCTAGGACTCGGTAGCGTACGCAGAATTTTTCGTACGCGGTGTCGCATGTACATAAATAAAAAAGTAAATTATTATTTAATATTATTTTCCCACAAATTGAAGAGCCTTGGCCCGATGGTTTAGTGAATATTATTGCAAAATGAGGTGTAGGTTCTATTCTCCTTTACCTCAAATTTTTAACAAAAATATTCAAAAAATAGAATGTCTGGGTCCAACCTTCAACTCACCACCTTTACATGTCCAATACAAGCTTAATCAATGGACAAAGAAGTGTTCTTTGCTAAGAAGCGGTATCATTACTATATATTGCTTCATTTTTGTAGAATTTAAATATAAATATTTAATATTTTTTTCCGATGAAACGGTGTCGGATGACACCGCTTACTCTCATGTGTGTCCGTCCCTGCTAAGACTCATTTTACTTTAGATCCAATATTCGCTAAGGCACCATTAGTTTGCACTTAGTGAAGGTATGAATCTTAATCATTTAAATTTTTCGTTATTGGTTATGTTTGGTTTTTAGTCTGATCTTAAATATTCAAATGTTAATTATTAAGTTTGTCTGTTTTTCCTTTGACAGCCATATAATGAGATTAAATAGATATAAAAATAATTAAAATTTATAGCAAAGTTTTAACATTATTAAAATGTTGTCCATTCAAGTTTTTTATAAAGGTGGTATTTCACCACCACTCAATCCACTTTATACAGTTAAGAATCCTTTTAGAATAGAAAATTTAACTTAAATACCGGGCTTACTCAATTGTTTAAACTAAAAATTGTCGGTCGTCATCACAAACTACCACCGTTAAATACTATTGTCAATTGTCATCACAATTAGCTACGAACCTCAATCACCACCATCAATTACCACTACCAGTTAGTACTCACATGCCATAACCGCTATTGTTAGTCATCACTACCACCACCACTATATAAATTTATTTTTCTAATATTTATTTGATACAGTATTAGATTAATTAATATTTTATTAAATTTATTATTCATTAATTTTCAATAAAGACAAAATTTGTACACTCCAATATTGAAAAAATAAACCGCCTTAATTATTTAACATTCGAATCTTATTGCAATATATTAATATTTAAAATTGTATTCAGACTCAATCGTTTTAATCTCAATAAAACAAGCAACGATTTGTATTCGATAATTTCTAGCTTTAAATGCCTAAATTATATAAATTGAGATGGAACTAAATCGAGTGATATGAAGAAGGATTGATATAATTGACCCTAACTAGCCTCGAATTAAGACATAGTCATTTTTGTTGTTTGTTGATTATGAAAATATGCATCTTTCCAAACTCCTAAACTAGAAAAGCACAAAAAACTCGATAAAGTGAGGAATATTTCCAGTTTGTAAACATAACATATGTTTTTTTTCTCTTTTTTAAAATTTTATAAAATTCTTATAGATGGAAAATTTTCATATCTGAATTCGACTTACCTTTTCATCGTCTTACCTTTTAAAAAACAGCTAAATCTTGTAGGGAGTAAGTAGTAATCTAGTCAACAGAACATAAGCGGTACATACTCTTAACTAGCAAATTGAAAAAATATTTTTTCCCAGAAGTCCTGACAAACAAGAAAATCACCATTTGTACATATGTTTTCCTCTAAATTTGGGCCAAAGTTGTTAAATAAAATTGTGTAACTTGTGTGAACAACTTGGATGGCATGGCCACTGATTAAGCTCGGAGGACTTAATTATTACTCCTAACAAATAAAATTATTCTTAAGTCATAAAACTGAAAACTGAAATTGACAAACACAACTGAAAGGTGAGAATTGGAAAGTGTTAATTATGAATTATACAGATAATTAAATCCACGAGATAAATATGCTAGTTCATAAGTTTTTCTCGTCTCCAGTATACTTTGCTACAGTATTATGCAGTGTCCTGTTGAAGTAGCAGCATTTTACATTGAGGCATCAAGGAAAGCATTAGAGACATCATCTAATTCCACATTCAGATTTTTGGCTGAAGGCAATCCAGCCACCACATTATGTTCAATGCCACATTCATTTGTTCCTCTTCTGATCTTGAAGTAACCATCCTGTTATCATAGAGATAGACATACATTTAGACAAGAAGCTTATACAAATAGAGTTTAACTTTTGTGTATTGATAGTTTTCAGTTTGTTTAATCATTCAGGCTAAGATGACTTATGCAACTGTCTAAAGTAATTCTAATTTAGTAACTTTAAGAGTGCAGTAAATAACTTGCTTTAACTTTTAAGATACACAGATAGTGTAAAAATTATTTACGCTGTCAGTATAGTTAGCGCATCTACAACAAGGAGTTAGGATGTCGATGGTTTAAGGAAATTTGTGCTCATATATGAAAGCATAAGGAGAAAATAGAGTACATACATCACCCCAGCCTCTGTTCCAAGAATTAGCAATAAGCTGCAGAAGATAATTAAAAAAAAAGGTGATGATTAGATTTTGATAAAATGATATGATTTTAGATAGAAAATAAGACACCACAACTTGAACACATCAACATACCCAATAGTCCTCTCCCTGCTCACTGGTTCCCCATCCGATAAGCTTAACAGCATGGCCTCCCATACTTTGCCCTGTTACATGCTTGTAAACTCCAGACTTGTAGTGAGCAAAATCCTGTGATTGACAAAAAAGTTTTAAGTCATTGGGTTAGCGGAAAGCATTGCTAAGAAAAAGAGAAAATAACAATTATAATCAACGAGAACAATCAAATTCAAACAAGCATTAGTTTATACTAGAGAAACTGAGAAACTAACAATTATAACCAGATAACTTCTCATATTGTGCTAAGCATTAAATTATCTCATTTACAAGTATTAATTTGCAAGTAAATCTCGGACAACATAAAATGAGAAGGTACATCGGTAGTTAAAGTTTCTCAATTATCATAATAGTTACTATCAGGTCACTTAAAAGATCATTACATGTATCACATTATGGGATTGGCAGGTAATTGTTTCTATGTACACATACCACAGGACCAGCATATAAGTTTACCAGCTCAGACAATGTCATGTGTGAAAACTATATCAAATAATTTTAGTATCAGAACTTAACCCTCCCCCTTATCCTCATTACCTCGTAGACGGTAAAAGAGACCTCGACTGGTCCATTTTTGTAAATTTCTGTCATGATACTGTTGGGATCATGGTGGATCCTGTATGCATTGACACCATAATGCTTTGATTTCCCCCATAGTAGAATCTCCTTCACACACTTCCTCTGACACTTTGGGGTGGGATATCCTGGTTCACAACCAGGGTGGGAACATCCCTCATTATCAAAGTAAGGGTCACACTGCCAGAAAAAACAACTTTATTAGTGATTGATCATAAAGATCCACGGTAGCTAATGGTTTTAGAGGAAGCTGTAATCTCTTTTGGTGAAAATAAGTCACCATTTACCTCTTCTGTGACCACACCCCTACGGATAAAGTATCGCCATGCTGTTATTGGATATCCACCATCACAACCACTCCCACATAAAAAGCCACAGCATGCTAACAGATCATTTACAGACAGAGAGATATTCTGCATTACACATTAGAAGTTTAACATCAGTGACCATAACTACAGAAATAGATTCACATACGTTTTGTGCTAGGTGAGATGGTTTCCACATGCTTAGACCATGAAAAAGAATCATGAGGCTGGCACGTGAGAGCACTTGCTGAAGATATATAATTAAGTACATAAAAATGTGTCATCTAAAGCTTTTAAATGAGGCGGTCACACAGTTCAACAAAATTTACCAAGTTATGATGGATACAGAAACGATCAGACAGCGATTCAACAGCACCAAAAGCCCAACAAGAACCGCAATGTCCCTGATCTGTGACGCAAATTTGTCCCGGTGATTGATGTGCAAAGACGGAAAGCATTAGGATCACTATCATAGAATTATAATTCAATAGTAGTAAGCAAGAACAAGAAGAGACTGACCCAGAATTCTTCCGATAGTACTACATTGAGGCCAAGCTTTTCGTGCATCAAACTCTTTTGGTAGCTCCAAAAGTTTTGGATGAGTTAGAATAGGAATTCCCTCCAAATCACCTTCTCTTGCGGGCTTAACTCCAAGAAGGCGCTTAAATTGCGAAACCTGTGAAAACCAAAGAAAAACATAATTATAAATCGACGTTTTCGGTGTATGGCTGCAAAATAAGCAACTGTTATTGATGGTTAGAGAAAGCGCTAAGCCATATGATGATCTGACCGTGAAATTCGAGAATCGAGGGTTGAATGCAGCTTTCCACCCAGCTTTGGCATTTTCATTAACCTCTTTAATGATTGATTCCTACATGATTATCCAAAAAGCTCTCTTAGTTTTAAATTTGAAGCAACAAGGGCAATAACATCTTCTCTAAACATGAAAAGAAGAATATACCTGAAGGATTGCAGATTCAACTTTAGCTTCAGATATTGGCTGCTCTGCAACAACCTGTTTTCCATAAGAACAAAGAGATTCTACTCATCAAAAGACATCCTTAAAGCTTTTAGGAAACAGAGCTGCAACTCCAGGAACAAAAGCATGACACAATGAGTGACAAACGAAGAACTTCGGGCTCGTTTGGTACGAGGGATAAGGGATAATTAATCTCGGGATTAAATTTGAGATGAGTTTATCCCATGTTTGATTGTAGTGTTATTTTAATAATTATGGGAGGGTGGGATAAACAATCGCGGGATAACTAATTTCGGGATAATTAATCCTGCGAACCAAACAATCCCTAAAGGTTTCACTTTAATCAAGATGAAACTCTTCCACAACTTTTATTTTCAACATTATAATACTATTAGCCTGGAAAATTAATCAAAAGTTTGTAGGAAATTCATCATATGTCTAAAGCACTATAACGTAGAGGAAAAAGAATCATAGAACAAGCAGAAATTGTAATTAGTCCATTATTTCTCCTCCTTCTTCTCCCCTTTCTGTATTTCTTTGTGAAGCAATACTTCCTCTCATGTTATTATATTTCGACAAGTAAGTTAGCTAACACATAACATAAGTAATTTGCATCAAACCATATAATTAACTTCAGAAACATGTGTATACTTCTCTTTTCTCATTCTCACTAGGTAATGAGAAAATCATTAAAATTTGCTTCTACTCATGATTTCTAGTCAACGCTTAACTAAAGCATAAGAAGTCCAAAATACCCAACAATATTTGATCTTTCTGAAGAAACACAAAAAGGCTAATCCTTGTGTTCATCAAAAGCTATACAAATCAAATCAATACGCTAAATCCACCTAAAACAAAATCATCAATTCAATAGGCAAGAACTACCCATAAGACATACTCCTACTGTGAAAGGTTCAAAGAATGAAGAAACAAACCTGCAATATAAGGATAAACAAAGCACCAAAAAGCAAAGGAGTTGCTAAAGACTTCAGGGTCAAGGCCATATTTGCTTCTTTTTTAGCTTTCCTGTTGTGGTGTGTGTAAATGGATATTTCTCAAAGGTATATATAGATGGATGAAAAAAGAAAAAGGAGAATAACAATCAATTATTGGCCCATTCTCTTGACATATAAAAATGATGGCTTTTTCAAACGGAAGATGATGGCTACTTGTGGTTTTATAAGATATTTTTGAATACTTTCGTATTGAAGAATTTAAATCAAGTCAGTCCGTTTTATCTTTCCCAAAAGTCTGGTTCAAGTTGGAACGTTAGGTATTCTAGTTGGACTATTTTACAAGCAATATTGCATTCTCCTTTTTTGTTTTTTTGTTTGGTTAACAGCAATTTTCAAGTCTCATGTAGTCATGTGAGATTGCTTGGGGAAAAAAATTCGGGCTTTTTTTTTATTTTTATCTCGCGCCAAAAACTATTTACGTTTCGTAATCATAGAAGTATATAAAATTTATATAATTTTTATATATAACATATAAAATATATATNAGCGTATATGCAATGTCACTTTCCCAAAAACATCATAGGGGTGAGAGTAAGGGTGACAATTTTAGCCCAAACTCATTTGACCCGTCTAACCCGTTCGAGGTTGGGGTAGTCATTGATCTGCCTAACCCGCCCAAGGTTGGGGTGTCTATTTGTTGAACTCAGCCTATCTTGATCCAACTCATTTCAACCCATCTCAAGTTGGGTTGATATTTGTCCAAATTGATTCATGAGTAACTTTGTTAAAATATTTTTAAAATAATCTTTTTATATTTGATATATTATATATGACCATACAAAAAAAATATCTTATTTGATAATTAAATAGTATATATGAAAATAATACGTAAAAATAGCATGGGCTGGCCAGTTTTCAGAATGGTCATTCAAAAATAGCCAGTGTTTGCCAAGTCATTGAAAAATAACTGTTATTTTGCTGCAACAGAGACTGGTTCAGCATAATATACTAGAGTTCAGTGCACCTGTGTATGAACTTTCAGCATATTATGCTGGAACTCCAACATACGGAAAGTTCCAGCATAATATACTAGAGATTTGAGCACTTGTGTATGAACTTCCAGCATATTATACTGGACCGGTATATTTTGCTGGAACTCCAGTATATTATGCTGGAGTTCTAGTGTACTTATGCTGGAGTTCAAGTATACTTATGTTGGAATTCCAGCATAATATACTGGCGCATTTTTCGGGTTTTGAACAGTGTTTTCGCTCAGATTTATCTTTACATGAAAAATGTCTAAATTTCGATTACTTTTGAAAGTTTGGCTATTTTTGAATGATCACTTGTAAATCTGGCTATTTTTAATTTCTCCCAAATAATACACATTAATTAAAGATTGGTAAGAATTGGGCGGTTTGTGTTATGACCCAAGTTTTAGCCCAATTTGAGCCAATCCATCTCAGCCCAAGTTACTTTTTGGCGGGTCATTAACTCTTTCATTTATTGACTTAGAGTTTGTTTGGATTGACTTTTTTTAAGTGTTTTTAAGCTAAAATCGCTTTTAAGCCATTTTGTAGTGTTTGAATAAAGTAAAAAAGTGCTTTTAAGCCCTTGTTTTAAGCTAAAATGACAAAAACAAGCCAAAAGCAAAAAGTTAGAATTCCTAACTTATGGCTTAAAAGCTATTTTGATTTAAAAGTCACTTAAAACAAGCTTATCCAAACGGGCTCTTAGTCCATTTTGACCCGTCTAAGATTATTCCGACCTTCCCATTTAACACCCCTGGGTGAGAGTACACGGACCTTGTGTGTTCACCATAGTCGATATTGCCCTTAATAGAAGTAATGTCTCTAAACTTCCGTTAATCATTGGATTAAAATGCATATTTAATTTAACTGACTGCCAAATTTGCTTAACTAAATAATAGAGGAATTAAAACTAGAATAAGATAATGACTGGAGGGTTAAAGATACTAATTTTTCTAAAAATTAAATGGATATTATAGTAAAATCAACATATCTCGCTAAATTGAATTAGAAATCAAAGTCACCCCGATTTTTAATTTGATGGTATGCCCCGATCTTTTCTTTGTAAAACTATTAGTTATCTTCTATTTAGTGGTCTAGTAAACTCTTAGAAAAATATAAAAAAGCTTAATAAAACAATTTGAAAATATAATGTAAAAAGAAAGTGAAATGGAATGTAACAATAAATTATATTTACGCCAAAACATATTATTTTTGGTACATTAGCCCAAAGCATATTTGAACATTGGACTGATATTCTATTCTTGTAGTATAAACAAGACAAACTTTCATAAACCACTATAACATAGTGGTTATTAGCTAGTTGTAGCTATCATTTACTATATTACTTTCTATAGCTATATTTTTAAATTTTTTAGAGTGTATTCGATGTATTTAAGCTATTGTATTCATGAATACAATAGCATTTCTAGGCGTGAAACAAGGGATTACAGCTAGACAGATTTTTGTATTCGAGTGTATTCGACTGTATTCATGGCGTGAAACATGGGATTACAGCTAGACAGATTTTTGTATTCGAGTGCATTCGACCGTATTCATGGCGTGAAACATGGGATTACAGCTGGACAGATAATTGCATTCGATTGTATTCACGGCGTGAAATAGGGGATTACACTGTTTTTAAAGGGAAAGTGAATCAATTAACATAATAGACTCCTAATATAACCCAACAAACTCAATTATAACACACAAATTTGTATTTCCAGTTATAAAAAAGATTCTCAACCGAAAAACACCCCAAAAATATAGCACTCTTCAGAGAAATTATATCTGAATACATAAATTATATTAATTAAAAAAAAACATATGAATACATTCATGGAATAAAGCGAGACAGTAATGTGACGACCCGGTCAGTCGTCTCATGAGTTATCGCTCCGTTTCCACCATTTCAGCTTCTTTACGCTTCGTTATCCGTGTTTTATGTGATCGAGTTGATTAGTTCGAGTTCGGAGAGGATTTGGTAAGAAATGAGACACTTAGTCTCTTTTAAGAAGGCTTAAGTTGGAAAAGTCAACCGGGTGTTGACTTATGTGTTAGAAGGCTCGAAAGTGAGTTCCGATGGTTCGGTTAGCTTCGGGAGGTGATTTGTGATCTAGGAGCGCGATCGAAATGGATTTTGGAGTTGTAGAGAAGATTTAGGCTTGAATTGGCGAAATTGATATTTCGGCAAATTCCGACTGATAGGCGAGATTTTGATATTGGGGTCGGAATAGAATTCCGAGAGTTGTAGTAGCTTCATTT